AAAATCACAACTGAAAAAAGTGAGATCACAACCAATACCAAGGAAATACAAATGATTTTAAAAACATATTATGAGCAGCTACATGCCAATAAATTAGGCAATCTAGAAGAAATGGATGCATTTCTTCAAGACACAAACTACTAAAACTGCAACAGGAAGAATTAGAAAACCTGAACAGACCAACAACCAGGGAGGAAATTGAAGCAGTCATCAAAAACCTCCCAAGACACAAAAGTCCAGGGCCAGATGGCTTCCCAGGGGAATTCTATCAAACGTTTAAAGAAGAAGCAATACCTGTTCTACTAAAGCTATTTGGAAAGATAGAAAGAGATGGAATACTTCCAAACTCGTTCTATGAGGCCAGCATCACCTTACTTCCAAAACCAGACAAAGACCGCACCAAAAAGGAGAATTATAGACCAATATCCCTGATGAACATGGATGCAATAATTCTCAAGAAGATACTAGCCAATAGGATCCAACAATACATTAAGAAGATTATTCACCATGACCAAGTGGCATTTATCCCTGGGATGCAAGGCTGGTTCAACACTCGTAAAGCAATGAATATGATGGATCATATCAACAAGAGAAAAAACAAGAACCATAGGATCCTCTCAATTCATGCAGAGAAAGCATTTGACAAAATACAGCCTCCATTCCTGATCAAAACTCTTCAGAGTGTAGGGATAAAGGGAACATTCCTCAGCATCTTAAAAGCCATCTATGAAAAGCCCACAGCAAATATCATTCTCAATGGGGAAACACTGGGCACTGTTCCCCTAAGATCAGGAATATGACAGGGATGTCCACTCACACCACTGTTATTGAACATAATACTAGAAGGCCTAGCCTCAACAATCAGACAACAAAACTAAATAAAAGGCATTTGATTTGGCAAAGAAGTCAAACTCTCCCTCCTTGCAGATGATATGATACTGTACATAAAAAACCCAAAAGACTCCACCCCAAGGTTGCTAGAACTCATACAGCAATTCAGCAGTGTGGCAAGATACAAACTCAATGCCCAGAAGTCAGTGGCATTTCTATACACTAACAATAAAACTGAAGCAAGAGAAATTAAGGAGTCAATCCCATTTATAACTGCACCCATAAGCATAAGATAAGATATCAAGGAATAAACCTAAGCAAAGATTTAAAAGATCTATACCCTAAAAACTACAGAACAGTTCTGAAAGAAATTAGGAAGACACAATGAGATGGAAAAATAATCCATGCTCGGGGATTGAAAGAATTAATATGTGAAAATCAATGCTACCCAGGGCAATTTACACATTTAATGCAATCCCTATCAAAATACCATGGACTTTCTTCAGAGAGTTGGAATAAATTATATTAAGATTTGTGTGGAATCAGAAAAGACCCCGAATAGCCAGGAGAATATTGAAAAAGAAAACCAGAGCCAGGGGCATCACAATGCCAGATTTCAGGTTGTACTACAAAGCTGTGGTCATCAAGACACTGTGGTTCTGGCACAAAAACAGACACAGAGATCAATGGAACAGAATAGAGAATCCAGAAGTGGACCCTCAACTCATGGTCTACTAATACTCGACAAAGCAGGAGAGACTATCCACTGGAAAAACGACCGTCTCTTCAATAAATGGTGCTGGGAACATTGGACAGCTACATGCAGAAGAATGAAACTAGACCATTCTCTTACACCAGACACCAAGGTAAACTCAAAATGTATGAAAGATCTAAATGTGAGACAAGAATCCATCAAAATCCTAGAGGAGAGCACAGGGAACTCCCTTTTTGAACTTGGCCACAGGAACTTCTTGCAAGATACATCCATGAAGGCAAGGGAAACAAAAGAAAAATGAACTATTGGGACTTTCTCAGGATAAAAAGCTTCTGCACAGCAAAAGAGACAGTCAATAAAACTAAGAGACAGCCTACAAATGGGAGAAGAGATTTGCAAATGACATATCAGATAAAGGGCTAGTATCCAAGATCTATAAAGAACTTATTAAACTCAAAAGCAAAGAAACAAACAATCCAATCATGAAATGGGCAAAAGACATGAACAGAAATCTCACCGAGGAAAACATAGACATGACCAACAAGCACATAAGAAAATGCTCCGCATCACTGGCCATCAGGGAAATACAAATCAAAACCACCATGAGATCCCACCTCACACCAGTGAGAATGGGGAAAATGAACAAGATAGGAAACCACAAATGTTGGAGAGGATGTGGAGAGATGGGAACCCTCTTACACTGTTGGTGGGAATGTGACCTGGTGCAGTCACTCTGGAAAACTGTGTGGAGGTCCCCCTCAAAGAGTTAAAAATAGATCTGCCCTACGTCCCAGCAATTGCACTGCTGAGGATTTACCCCAAAGATACAGACGCAGTGAGACGCCGGGACACCTGCACCCCGATGTTCACAGCAGCAATGTCCACAACAGCCAACCTGTGGAAGGAGCCTCGGTGTCCACAGACAGATGATGGATAGAAAAGCTGTGGTCTGTGTATACACTGGGATATTCCTCAGCCATTAGAAACTACAAATACCCACCATTTGCTTCGACGTGGACAGAACTGGAGGGTATTATGCTGAGTGAAATAAGTCAGTCGGAGAAGGACAAACATTATGTGGTCTCATTAATTCGGGGAATATAAAAAATAGTGACAGGGAATAAAGGGGAAAGGAGAAAAAATGAGTGGGAAATATCAGAAAGGGAGACAGACCATGGGAGACTCCTAACTCTGGAAAATGAACTAGGGGTGGTAGAAAGGGAGGTGGGCAGGGGGTGGGGGTGACTGGGTGACAGGGGGGGCACTGGATGGGATGAGCACTGGGTGTTATGCTGTATGTTGGCAAATTGAACCCCAATAAAAATATATATACAAAAATAAATAAATAAAATTAAATAAGTTAAAAAAAAAGAAAAAACTGAGGGTTGATGGAGGAAGGTAGGTAGGGAATGAGCTAGATGGGTGATGGTATTAAGGAGGGCACTTAATAGTTATGATGAGCACTGAGTGTTGTGTGTGATGAACCACTGAATTCTACTCCAGAAACCACTATTGTAGTATATGTTAACTACCTATAAATTTAATTTTAAAATTAAAAATAGAAGTGTTCCTGAACTCCATATCAAGAGTGACACATTGTGATTTATTGTTCCTCAAATTGTGACCTCTGGAAGCTTTTTGGAATCCATATCCCAGGCAAGCAAATTTTTAAAACATTGGTGAAGTTGTCACCCTGTACTAATTCCTCAGAGAACATGCAACCATCAACTTTTTAAAGATCCATTGGCTTGGAGGAGAACTTTTCTAATGCTATAGAGGCAAAGTCCCAGGAGAACATTTGGTAAAGAAGATGCATTCTTAATTATTGTGAAGTAATAATACTCTTTATCCAGCTGGGTAGAGAAATATATGGTTCATGAAATGGAGATTGGTAGACATCAAAACGATGATACCTTTACCTATGAGCACTGCAGAAGGTCATAACATCTCTGTGTCAATGCCTTTCATTCCAGAATTTCTTTTTTGTTTGTTTGTTTTTGTTTTTTCTTTTCTTTTGTTTTGTTTTGATTCCAGAATTTCTTCATGCTGACTTATTAATGCTCCTGGCTTGGGACATTTAAAAAATAGGACATACTACTAAAAGAAGCACAAAGACAACTTCCACCAAATCAGTCTTAAAGACTCTTCCAAGCACTGGGGTGAACAATAGGTTGGAAGTAAAATTGCTTTTGAAAATTTTGTGTTTGTTCCCCAAATGTAAGCCCTCACAATTTTCAGAATTCACATCCCTGCATCTTGTCCCAAAATGGCAAAAATATTCAGGGAACTCAGATCCCTGGCACCTTTTCCATGAGAATGTGGGATGAAGTACATTTACTTATAACACTTTAAAAAAGTATTTGACTTCTTTCTTCTGCTGCAATTTTTTTAAAATTTTTAAAAGATTTTATTTATTTATTCATGAGAGACACAGAGAGAGGCAGAGACACAGGCAGGGGGAGAAGCAGGCTCCATGCAGGGAGCCTGATGTGGGACTAGATCCTGTGACTCCAGGATCATGCCCTGGGCTGAAGGCAGGCGCTAAACCGCTGAGCCACCCAGGGATCCCATTGCAAATTTTTAATTTAAAACAATATATAATTTAAACAAGCATATAAAAAATCATTGCCAAATTTTATGGGGGAAAATAGCTTCAAAAAATAAAAGTCCCATACCTAGCTATTACTTTGCAAACTTTTACAGGTGAAAGATTAGGTGGAAACTTAGTCACTGCTTCCAACAGAAGACACTGCAACAGTGAAATATTAAAAATCAGCACTGGTAAGTAACATTATGGTATCATATTTTTATGATGCTTAAGCTAACAGCAACAGGAATAGAAATGAGAGATATTGGCTTTAAATTACTGCTAACTTGCTCTACAATATTGTCCATTTATTTTTCATACATAACTGATATGTTAAGCAATATATTTAACTGATATATAAGAGTAGAATTAAAGCCTTCTTTTCTGTATCTATTGCCCTACAATGGGTTTAGGATAAGAAACTAGTACATGTACTAAGTGTTAACTTTGTGTTATGTGCTATCCAGAAACTCTCATACCTCATCCCTGCTCAAAAAAAAAAACAAACTTTACAAAATGAGTTTAACATGGGGCACCTGGGCGCCTCGGGCAGTTCAGCATCTGACTTGATTTCAGCCTAGGTCATGATCTCAGGGCTGTCAGATCGAGCCCTGCCTCAGGTTGTGTGCTGGGTGTGGAGTCTGCTTGAGATTCTCTCTCTTCCTCTCCCTCTGCCCTCCCCCACACCATTCCTCCCCCACATTCCTCTAGAGAGAGAGAGAGAGTTTAACTCCCCTAGTTCTGTCATGGGAGCATTAATGAAGAAGAGATCAGAAGCAGGCCCGCTACTACTCTGCCCAAAACTCAGAGCACATAACCAAGAACAAGTAGACTTGTTCTCTTCCTAACCCATGATTCTCTTGAAAAATGACGCCATGCTCATTGTCTTCTCTTCGTTCTGAAAAAGGAGCACATTTGAAACTAGTCCTGATAACAGTATGTCTCTTGCCCTTGCAGATGACTGACCCAGTGAATGTCTCTGAGCCATATTCCAGCTTCGCTTCTGTAAGAGAATTTATACTCCTAGGTTTCTCTTGTGAGTGGAAGATTCAGATCCTTCTCTTCTCACTCTTCACTACAACATATACTTTGACGGTAACAGGGAATGGGGCCATTGTTTGTGCTATTTGGTGTGAAGGGAGACTCCATAGCCCCATGTACATGTTCCTGGGTAATTTCTCCTTTCTAGAGATCTGGTATGTCTCTTCTACAGTCCCCAATATGTTGGCCAATTTCCTCTCAGAAAAAAAGACCATCTCCTTTACTGGATGTTTCGTCCAATTTTATTTCTTTTTCTCTTTGGGAACTTCTGAATGTTTGCTCTTGGCCATCATGGCCTTTGATCGGTACCTTGCTATCTGCCGTCCCTTGCACTACCCTAATATCATGACTAGGCATTTATCTACCAAACTGGTCATTATCTGCTGGGTTTGTGGTTTTCTGTTGTTCCTGATCCCCATTGCATTCATCTCTCAGATGCCCTTCTGTGGTCCAAACATTATTGACCATGTTGTGTGTGACCCAGGGCCACTGTTTGCATTGGCATGTGCATCTGCCCCAACAATCCAACAGCTTTGCTATAGTCTAAGCTCATTAGTTATCTTTGGTAACTTCCTTTTCATCCTTGGGTCCTATACACTTGTCCTGTTAGCTGTGTTGCGCATGCCTTCAGCCCCCGGGAGACATAAGGCCTTCTCTACCTGTGGTTCTCATTTGGCTGTGGTATCACTATTCTATGGCTCTCTGATGGTCATGTATGTGAGCCCAGGACTTGGGCATTCTGCAGGTATACAGAAAGTTGCAACTTTGTTCTATGCTATGGTAACTCCACTCTTCAACCCGCTCATCTATAGCCTCCGGAATAAGGAGATAAAGGCAGCCCTGAGGAAAGTTCTGGGGCGTTGCTACATAACTCAAGATGTACTATGTGATTGCTCCAGGTCAGTATAGTCTCACAGAAAGCAATCAGGATTATGCAGTTATACAAATCTTCCAATATAAGTCTAGTGATATTAACTATCAGTTTATGAAGTTAAACATCTATGGGGCCACCATAATCGTAAAATGGCCAGATTATATAACTAAATGGAAGTACTGGGTTCTTGTTTGACACTCAGAGTGTACATGAACTAAGAATATACACATCTGGGTGTTTTCTGGATAGTTTACATGATTCTTCTGTGATAAAACTTTTTGTGTTCTACTTGATAATTTAACAGTTCTGGGATCAGTTAAATCATGTCATTTTGTTGTTTAGTTGTTTCATTGTAAATAAATGAAAAAATTTTTTCTGTTTGTGGTTCTTTTTTTATATATGTATATTTTTATTGGAGTTCGATTTGCCAACATATAACACCCAGTGCTCATCCCATCAAGTGCCCCCCTCAGTGCCCATCACCCAGTCACCCCATCCCCCCGCCCACCTCCCCTTCCACCACCCCTTGTTCATTTCCCAGAGTTAGGAGTCTTCCATGTACTGTCGCCCTCTCTGATTTTTCCCACTTGTTTTCTCTCCTTTCCCCTATAATCCCTTTTACTATTTTTTATATTCATGAGTGAAACCATGTAATGATTGTCCTTCTCCAAATGACTGACTTCACTCAGCATCGTACCCTCCAGGTCCATCCACGTCGAAGCAAATGGTGGGTATTTGTCGTTTCTAATGGCTGAGGAATATTCCATTGTATACATAGACCACAGCTTCTCTATCCATCATCTTTTGATGGACATCGAGGCTCCTTCCACAGTGTGGCTATTGTGGACATTGCTGCTGTGAACATTGGGGTGCAGGTGTCCCGACATTTCACTGCGTCTGTATCTTTGGGGTCAATCCCCAGCAGTGCAATTGCTGGGTCATAGGGCAGGTCTATTTTTAACTCTTTGAGGAATCTCCACACAGTTTTCCAGAGTGGCTGCACCAGTTCACATTCCCACCAACAGTGCAAGAGGGTCCCCCTTTCTCCACATCCTCTCCAACATTTGCTGTTTCCTGTCTTGTTAATTTTCCTCATTCTCACTGGTGTGAGGTGGGATCTCATTGTGGTTTTGATTTGTATTTCCCTGATGGCCAGTGATGCAGAGCATTTTCTCATGTGCTTGTTGGCCATGTTTAGGTCTTCTTTGTTTGTGGTTCTTTCCTTATTTGACTGTATTATTTTGGTTATCTGGTCACCTCAGATAAATAAACCCTTAAAATGATTATCCAAAATTTCTATGGGACTATAATGTTATGCTGGCCTAATGACATTCAGACATATGTTGTTTGTTTTTCTTAAGGGGCAGATTCTAATTCTAACAACAATCAATCAAAACATTCAGAAATACGGTATTCTGGGTGTTAATATTTTTACAAAGGATCACCAAAACTTTAATTGGTCAATTAATTGGGTTTTAGATAATAGAATGTTTCCTTCTAAAAATGGAGGGACATGATCTACTTCGAAATAAATTACTTAAGTTCAAAAAAAAATAAGTGCCAATTAATTGTTATTTGTTGCTGCAACAGTATTAAAATAACAGTAAGGAAAATTTTTAAGGAAGAAAAGCATCCAGAATTAAATCACTTTACAGTGATACAATCAATACACTTTACATTTTCATTTATATGTGTGCTTTATTTAATATAACATCAAACTTGTTCCTGTATTATACCAAGTTTTTATAATTATTGCTTTGGGGAACTTTAATATTCCATTCAACTAAATGTATGGATTGTACATTTTTATGTGGTGAGATCAATATTTTCCTAAAAGGAGGACTGTCCTTCCACATAGCTTGAAACTGATTTTTGCAGGATGTAGTAAAGGAAATTTCCACAAGGGGAATTGGGAGAAAAATGAATGCCACCACTACACAATAATGACCACTTAGAATTATTATTCAGGGATTCAGATCCTCCTTCCATCCATCACCAATCCTTTTGTTATATAGTACAGTTATTTCCATTCTTTTATTGTAAAAATTCATATCTCAATTAAATCTTCATAAAGATTTGTCATGATGATGTTTTGCAAAATGTATTAGGACTCATCATCTAATCTAAAACTGCCCCTGGAAAATCCAGGATATAAGACTACTATATGCATGTATCAATTTTTCCTTCTGGGGTTTTTATCTTAGAACAGTTTTCTGGGAGAGAAATTGATTACTCAGTTCAAAAGATAAGATTGCATTTGTGATTTTTGAAATGGACACATTCTAATTCATATCATGCTTGACTTGAATGAAATGCTTTTTTAATTTTTTTGCCCATTTTTGGACTAGCAATTGCATAAATTTGATTATGAAGATATTAAAATGTTTTTTTTCATCATACCAATCATGCAGTTTTCTTATGTATTTTCTTAATCCTTGCTTGCTTGTTTTTAAATCTATAAACCAGAGCTAATGATAATGCTTTCCTCACAGAATGGCTGTGATGAATAAATGAGGTTAATCAGAATAGAATTTTATACATAGTATGTATGCAATTGATGTCAGTTAATACTAATACTTTTTACTTGGAAAGTTCTTTATCATTTACAAAACACTTTGACATACTCTCTCAATTCATCCTCACAAATTCTGTGACAGAGTTAGGGTAGACATTCTCATACTTTTTGCAGAGATGAGATTCAAAGAAACCAAGCATGTTGTTTAAGGCTACATGCGTAAGTGAAGGAACTAGTTCCGCTGACTTCAGTATCAGTAAGAATTTCGCTGTGCCAGCACCTTCTCTCCTAGAAACTATGGCCATGTTCTATGTAGCTACCTTACAAACTGCATGGTATTGCAGGTCAAAAGCCTGGATTTATCTAATAAATGAATGCTGTAGAGGAGGCATGCATTTGGAGAGATATACTTATAGGAAATTCTTTATGATTAAGACAATAACTACGCAAATTATATATGATTTATGTAACAAATATTTGGATAACTATTTGAAACTCAAGGTCTATCCAGGAACCCAGAATTGTAAATATTAGACTTGGATTCGGCTGTGTATAAGAGTCCCAAGTAACAGCAACTTATACAAAGTGTTTGGGTTTTTTTATTCCCTCACACATACACTTCTAGAGATAGTTCATGGCAGTCCAGAGGAAGGCAGTTCCAAGATGGCATCAAGGACTCAAGCTCTCATGGCTTTTGGTAAGTCCTTTTTAGTATATATTTTCATCCTCAAAGCCACCTTGTTATCCTAAGACAGCAGCTGGAGCTGCAGACAGCAGGAAGGAGGCCACTCTATTACACCTGCAATTTTGATGGAACAGAAGTGTGCTACACAATGACCCCTATGTAAAGGAGGCTACAACATTTGATTTTTCAAACTGGGTACCTTGCCTCCAGAATAGAACTGAGATTGTATTAGGCAGGAAGATAAGAAAAATGGATAATAAGTATGCATGTAACACACTCTGCCACACATGTGTTGGGAATAAAATAAGAAAATACAGGGGATCCCTGGGTGGCGCAGCGGTTTGGCGCCTGCCTTTGGCCCAGGGCACAGTCCTGGAGACCCGGGATCGAATCCCACGTCAGGCTCCCGGTGCATGGAGCCTGCTTCTCCCTCTGCCTGTGTCTCTGCCTCTCTCTCTCTCACTGTGTGCCTATCATAAATAAATAAAAATTTAAAAAAAAGGTTGAAAAAAAGAAAAAAAAGAAAATACAGTGATGGAAATTAAGAACTAGACCCGCTTCTCAAGGATGCCATTTTAGGAGGTTGATATTCAAGCAAATATTTATATCCAAATAAATAGCAAGATAGACTGATTTAGTGGCTAGAAAATCCTTGAAAGACAAAAACAAAGAGGAAAAATTAAAAAAAATGAGACATTACAAAACCTAAGATTTTAGTCAAAACTCATGAATGTGTATGGAAAAATTAAATATAAGTTTGTTTCCCAAACTCCAACAAAGCACCTCACATGTGTGGTACTTAAGAAAAATGAATGATCAGTATGATGAAAAAACATTTTAATATCTTCATAATCAAACTTACGTAATTAGTATTCTAAAAACAGGCAAAAAATTTTCAAAAAGAGTTTCAATCAAGCCAAGCATGATATGAATCAGAGAGTGGGGAACATTTCTATCTTTGGAATACTAAATTACCCAAACTCAATTCTGGCTCTGATTTCATGACTTCCTTCCCAGAAGTTTGTTAATGGCTCATATCCTCTGGAAAAGAAGATGTTACCATTCAGATAGAAATCTATCACTCTCTTCTTTCTTCTCCTCTCTACCCCCAATCTCAGTTTGTAGGTTCAAGTTTCCTCTGGTAAGGTTATGGGCTCTTTTTCAATCTTCCTGCTACAAAGGAGCTTGATATTAAGACTACTGGGAAAATGGAGAGGAAAGACAGAAATGGTGGAGCTTGTGGGTGGCTCTTATTGCAAGGAAAATAGAAAACTCTCCTAGAAAATGGAAAAGGGTCTTGTTTTTTTCAACTTTCAAAGGATATGATACAAAAGTAGTGAGAACTGACTCCCCAAACCGGACTAGAAAAGAGGTAATCATGAAGTAGAAAAAGTTGGTAAGAGGGAAAAGAAAGGAAACATCATGCATACTTGGGAGAAGTCACAAAGTTAACGAAGCACTCTCCTCTGTGCCCTAGCTCTTCCCACCTATAACTTAATAGGGTGCCACATCCATGTGTGAGAGAGAGCAAAGGCCATTGTGGAGGAAAGAATCACAGAAAAAAGGCTTTTATATCCTTGTTGCAGGAGATGCAAAAAAGCCCTTTCTGAGAAATTTCAGCTCTGTCTCCACTGAGCTTCACTTCCTCTGCTCAAAAGTACCCTAACTGCTACCCCAGTACCAGGTAGAAGAACAAGGAGTGGAAACTGATAAGGAAGAAAGCAAAAACGGAGCATCTCCCCTCCACAGAGAGGCTGGCCCTCGCTAGGGGAAGCCAGAAGCCTCAAGCTAGGCAGGGGCTAGGCGGAGATTAAGGGAAACACCTGGGTTGAAGCTTGCCACAGGTTAACTGGCCAAATGAGAAACTGTCATTTGTGGACAATTGGAGCGATGGCTCAGGTAATGCCATCAAAACAAATTCCTAAGGACAAAGGATATGCACTCCACAGTCCAGAATTGTGCTGTATCCCTAGGATCTCTGCCCCAGTGGCATTGTATCTCCTTGGTTTGAGATCTAGTCCAGGCTCTGACACCTCCTGGATACCAGAATAGAGAAGGAATATCAAGTATAGCAGGGCGTTCTGTTTGACACAGTCAGAGACTGCAGTGTGCGCTCAACACACAGCCTTCCTAAAATGCAAGGGGCTTGCCGAGGGGCTCATGGAAGACGGCGACAGCAGTTGTGGTGACTGAGCAGAGCCCAGTGACAGGATGCTTCCCACATCTGCTATGTTCAGTGCATATCTGAAGGGATTCCCCCTAAAGATGAGGATCGTTCTGTCTCCGATCAGCGTTGGCACTCACAGGCCTGCATATCCCCACCAGTGAAACAGTTTGCTGACTACATTTTAAAAACCCACTGGTGCCAGGAAAGACTCCGTACACTCTCTATACCGGGTACTTGGCACCAGAGAGAGTCATAACAGTCTCAAGACTGGCCGGTGATCTCATATGGTGAGAGGAGTCTCTGACAAGAATCTGAATTATCCAGAACAGAAAGTCATGACTGCTGAGCAGGTCAAAGCTGGTCTGATCCGTGGGCGTCAAGTTGTACGGGAGACACGGCCAGCTCAGCCCAGTGGCAGAAGCAGTTTGATGTGAACATTCTCGTCTCAAGACACGCGCACAAATGTGAAGCATTCGAGCAGGAAAATAAATCTTACATGAACCCAGGGTCTACCACTGAAGCATAGAAACCCCTCGGCAACAAATATTATTCCTTCATTTGTGTTGTTGGATATCCAGGCCTCTGCGGTTGGCACATATGTGTATGAGTTAATTGGAGACGATATAAAAGTAAAAGGAATTGAATACCAAAAGATCCTAAAGCCAGGCCTGTCTTGCTGCTTTTTATCATTCTTCTACTCACATTAAGTAATCAAACATTTATGAGCCACAAGATTGTAGCCCTTTTATGATATTTTGCAATAAAATATGTTATCTTCTGTTAATTCAATGTCCTAAGCTTCTTGTAAACTTTAAGAATATATTCTTCTGTATATGATTTCTATGAAAAAATGTCCACTACATGGTAAACAGTCAGGTGCTAAGAAAAATTTATCCTTGTAAATGCCCTCAAAGTTGATATTTGGAACTTCACAACAAAGAGTAGTGCATGAGGAAAAGGAATCTAGACTTTTTTGCATAAATTTTCCCTTTGGGGGGATCCCTGGGTGGCTCAGCAGTTTGGCGCCTGCCTTCAGCCCAGGTCATGACCCCCGGGGTCCTGGGATCGAGGCCCACGTCGGACTCCCTGCATGGAGCCTGCTTCTCCCTCTGCCTGTGTCTCTGCCTCTCTCTGTGTCTCTCATGAATAAATAAATAAAATCTTTAAAGAAAAAAATTTTCCCTTTGGTAATAAAGTTACCTTTCATTTGTAAAAATAAATAAAATATAAAATGTAAGGAGACAATGGAAATACAATGACTCTGCATCAAGTGTGTTGAGTGACATTCACAAGGAGGTTGATGGTTTTGCAAGGTTAAGTCATCTTGACAATGAACCCCGGGGCCTTTCTCCTCAGGCCTCTCCTGAACTTCTTACTGAACTCTAAAGCACAGACAAATCTGGAGGTCAAGGAAAGGGAGCTTCAGGGCCTCCAGAGCCAGCTGTAGGTGATTATCAGGGCACGTTATCCTCATGGTGAACTCAAGTGGAAGATAGAAAAGTCTGTATATTTTCACACCAAATCCTCCTTTGCCCAAAGGCATGAGTTACTGACTAAACCCCAACTCTGTCAGGAGGATGATGCCCTTCACTGTGCTTAGCTAAAGTGTCTCTCTGCCAGAGAACCAGTCTGGTCTCCTGCCTCTTTCTCTCTTTTCTGGGATCTAGAAGGGGCATATATGGTGGTTCCTCATCTCATAATGAGGAGCTGCAGGCTTTACCATGAGAGACGGTCAAGAAAGCAATGGGAAAGGGTCAATGGGACCCCCTACCTCCATCACCATGTTCTGAACACAAAAGTATCAAGACTTGATTTTTTATTCTAGTGTTTTTTCTGTTTCATTCTCCAGCTCACGTTTTCCACTTCCTTTATATTTTACCCGAACTTCTGAGGCTCTCTTCAGAAGTTTGACATAAACCCAACAGTAAAATTTCACTTGAAATGTTTCCTTAAGAGGATGCAGAGAAAAGGGAACCCTCTTACACTGTTGGT